TGTGGTTCGCACAGTCTGTGCGACTGCCCTTTTTGTATATTGCCACTATAATCGATTCGCTCCAATTAGCCGGCACACTCTCTTCGTTCCAGATACGTTCGAATAGGGAGGTAAGTGCTTTGCAGAGGACCTCACCTCCATCCTTAAATAGTGCAGGTGGAGGGAATCCGGGCCAGCGGCACGAAAACGATTGAGGGCTGTGATCGCGTTTCGGACCTCGGCCTCCGACGGAGGCTCTAAACTAACCGTCCATGGCTCGTCCTGCATCACCTGAGTAGGAAGAGGTCCGGGAGCAGGGGGCCAGCTGAACTGATCTTGAAAGTGTTCCGCCCAACGAGCCATACGACGCTCCTTACTGTGTATCAGCGTACCCGCGCTGTCTCGGATTGTCTCACTGACGCCTGGTTTCCTGGGACCAGTGGTTCGGATTAGCTGGAAAAGCTTCCGGTAATTGCCTACTGCTCCTGCCTCCTTCAGTTCTTGAGCCCGACTGGTCCACCAGGCTTCCTTGTCAGCACGTAGGCTCCGCTTTAGTTCACGCCTAATAGCCCGTCTGGTCACATTGTGTTCAGAACCAGCCGGGAGGTGTCTTCTAGCTTCCAACAGGTTCACGGACTTCTCGGATATCCAGTGACTAATGCTGTGAGGATGGATAGTGCCACAAACAGATGCTCCTGCGTCGTGCAGGGAGGCCGAGATCCTATTCCACTGAAGTTCAGTGTCATTAGGGCAAGACAGCGAGAGTTCGCTATGCAGTGCTTCTTGATAGGCTTGCCTGACCGAGGGCTAGGACAATTTCTCCGTTGCCAATCGGAGGAGACGCTTGGTGCGCCTTCCGGTAAAGTTCATGGAGAAACGACAGCGCACCAAGGCATGATCAGAGTCGACACAGGTACTCCAGTATGAGCGGCAATCCAGAATGGAACCACGCCACCTGTAACTTATGGCTATGTGGTCAATTTAGGTCCATCGCTGGCCAGCTACAGGTGGACGCCAAGTGGCACTTCGGCGCCCACTGTGTCTAAAAGCAGTGCTAGTAAGAAACAACTGGTGCTCCGCACACAGTTGCAGCCGACGCTCACCGTTGTCAGTCCGTTCGGAGTTCAGCCCATAATTACCACCCAGCTGAGCTTCTGAAGAGCTCAGACGCCCTACTTGTGCGTTCATATCCCCTGCAAGTACTAGAATGTCTGAACTAGTAGCACTGCGTAGTAGCGCGTTCAGTTCATGATTGAAAGTGTCCTTGACCGCATTAGAACTGCAGTCGGTGGGAGCATAAGCGGAAATCACAAACAAACAGCGTTTGGTTTTACTTCGCGAATTCACCTTAGCTGATGTAGTCAAACGGGCTGCACATAAACGGCTGTTCACCGGAATCCAATCAACCAACGATGACTCAGCCTTGGAGCTGAGAATGATACCTACACCAGCTTGACCCGTGAGTGCCGCATCGGCGTCTCCGGATGCGTGCACCAATAACGAGAGGATAAGCCGGGTGCAGTCAATTCAATAACCCCGTTAGGGTCATTAATCCTAGTTTCGGACACACAACACACATCAACACCCAGTGTGTCCAAGGTGCGTGCGAGTGCAGCCTGCTGACCTGTTTATCTTAGAGTGCGGAAGTTGAATGTCGCCATGGAAACGGGACAGCGTGGCCTTATAAGGGACTTTTGCCGATAGGCGTCCGACAGGTGCTTTGGGATGGTGGCTGCAGATGATTCTACTCCAGTAGCACTTCGGTTGCTGTCAATTAACCTGGGAATTATAGAAGGAAGGTTAGTAATGGGGGCCGGGATGGGAGTAAGAGAAACAGGTGGAAAAGAAAAAAGGAAGGCGCCAGCAGTAGCATGTTTTCGCTTATCCGTCCTGATGTATGCAGCAAATAAGGCGACGCTTGATAGCCTGCGCGACGGCCGATGCAGGATAAAGTTTATGTTTGAAGAAAATGTCATGGTTGTATGTGGGCCGAGATACTGCCAGGGCGCCCAGACCTAGACAGGAGGATGATTAGGGTCCTCAACCAAAGCCTTTGGCTCAAAAACCTGTCCGCAAGGCAGCGGGGTGGCAGTGATTTAGTTTTACAGAAATGGACGCCATCCCATTTCAAACCCCCAACTTGGACGACCAGGAGACTGTTTGTCAGACCTCTCACCATTGACCAACCTGGTAGGAGTAGCTCTCAAAATGCTCGGAGGCATCACCCAGTAAGCTCAATGGGTCAATGAGGTACGCAAACCGTCGCACCACGTTAAGGTCCAGTCTCGTTGCGACGGAGGCATCATTCACTGTAACTTGTATGCTTCGGCCATTCAGAAAGTCAGCGATCCAGGAAATAGTCTTCCCAGAAACACTAATTCCCCGGAGTCTGAGGAGACGTTCATGAGGAAGATTGTCAAATGCCCTGCTGAAATCGACGAAAAACGACATTCAGCGATCTCGCTCATTTTCCTCCGACAACATGCAAATGACAGGCACAGGAACGTGCCTTCCGAAAACAGAGAAAGGATATGCAAGTTCTCCAAGTGAAGATTTAGGGTTCGTTAAAGAATTCTATCCATGATTTTACAAACTATCTATGTAGTTTGTAGGATCCTGACGATTTCCTCCCTTGTACATGGGCCTCACGGTATCGAGTTTCCAAGAATTTGGAAGGCGTCCGGCATCTAGAGAGCGCCGAAAAACTTGGCAAACTGAAGAAGCAATGTGCTGAGCCACTGTCTTGATGAGCAAAGGGTGCAGATCATCGGGATCCGATGGGGAGTTTGGATATAATTCAAGTAGTCTCGTAACCAAGTCATCACTAAATATGATTTAGTGTAGAGAGGGGGTAACACAAAGTCACTGGATAATGGAGCTTCGGTGGAAAAAAACGGGAAAATATTGCAAAGCCAAGAGATCAGCTTTGGTATCATTCCCGTACAATACGGTATCATCATGGCTGGAATCCAGGGCAGGTATCCTACACCCGGCTCTTATATTCCTTTTCAGATATGAGAACAGTAGTTGGGAGTGGTGTTGGATTTTTACGCCAAAGTTCGCACTGTTATCGTTTTTCGCGTTCCGTTTGTGTGTAAAGGTTCCTAACCACCTTGTAGTGCGAGTAGTCCAAAGCCGACATTGTAGACCTAAATATTTCCCATAATCTGTATCTCGTTCATAAGGATGCATAATTCATGATCGATCCAGGGAGGACACTTGGAGAATTGTTTCCTTTTACAGTAAGGACTATCGGACCAATGGGTGTCATTTTTGTGTATAAGAGACCCCAGGCGTCGTCAAAGTCTAGGAGTGTTCCAGACTAGAATACTTGCAGCAAATCTCACATGGTGTTGGTCCGCATGTCAGAATTTCCGACGGTACACACTCTGGCCATTCAAACGAAGCCACACAATGATCAAGTTGCCACTAGGTTATAGTGCAGTCAAAGAGATTTCTGAGTACGCCGGTGAGAGTACGATGTCTAAGATGTGTGAAGCCTGGCCTGGATATATTCCAGTGGGCGCTGCAACATGCTGGAGCAAATGGCAACCAAGGACAGTTTTGAGTAAAAGAGAATTGCAAGAATCCGGAGAGGTAACTATGGGGGCAGATCCCAATCAATAGCAACAGCACCAAAGTCCCCCATTATCAGACAGTCTCTACTCCTGCCGTGCCTCTTTATCGAATCCAGTTAGCAAGTTCAGGACCCCCATAAGTGACCATAAGAGAATTACAACCGTAATGAATCCGATACTCCAAAAGCTCGAAAGCAGCATCGTTGCCGCAGACAGATTACACAGGATGAGCCCCAAGGTTCTCCTTCCAGTACAGAATCATATTACCCCAGACATCACTCAAGAACGGTCGGTCCGAGAGAAGTGATACGCCGGAATGTCGGCCGGTGGCCGAGTGTCATGCGCGTCTAGTTTGCAACAATAAAATCGGTTCCAATCCGTGTAGGGGAGGGCGTCCTTGTGGTATACTCAGTCCACGCGCGATGTGATCACGTGGCCGCGAAACGCCGTCACGGCGATTTATTATTTTATTTTATACCCCGGAATTTGAACCTCTGAGTCAGTATGTGCGAAGATAACCAGGTCTCTGTGAAGGGCATAAATCCAGTTGTTTTTCTGAAGCAAAACAACTGTGAAGAGAAACGCACCGTCGGAAGCAGAGCTCAAATTCAGTAAACGTGCTAAAAATTACAAATAAAGATCAGTCGTCTGATGAAAGGCTTCGCTGGCACGCGCCAACGATATAGTGGTAGTAAAGCATTGTTACAAAGGGACTGAAGAAGAACCGGATCAAGAATATCGTGCGAAAGGCCAGGTGACGTCAGGGGATCTATTTGCAGTCTTGTAGTCATTAAGGAACGTTCACTAGGCACCCTGAATGCGACCCCATCGGACGAAGTAATGTAGGAGTTGACAAAAAAAACTAGTTCACAAGTTGGTGTTGAAAAACACAGAGAAAATAAGTACAACGTAAAGCTGGTGGAGAGACTGGCACGATAAGTGCGCACAAAAGATTTGGGACAAAAAATTTCAACACAACTAAACTGCCTGTAAGAACCAGAAGAAAGCGTATTCACCGCCGATGGCTGACAATTTAAATGCGCTACATCGTGCACTAAAAATCCCAGAGCACTGGATGCAGAAATCGAGGTGAATGCGAGTTATTCGTCTAGGACGAAAGCCTAGGCGGGCACCTCCCAACGGATAGCCAATTATTTCAAAGCCCACTAACCGTGTTAAGGAAACAGAGAAGTAAAAGGCACAGAGCGTATCTAGACCAAAAACCGGCAAATCTCAGTGGTTAACGAAAGACAAGCTAAAGTTCATACCAAACGGAATCCGGTCAGATTGCACCGTACTGTAAGAGTACACTGCCACATGGTGGATGAAAACATGTTTGTTCGGTTTCACGAAACGCTTGGATATTTTCAGTGATTAGACCGTTGTTTGACAATAGTGCACTTTCCTGGCAAACGCATGTACAATGGGCTGGCGCAGTTGGTTTCACTCAAAGTGCTCCTGGCTTTTCCGGACGCAGCGACAAACCTTTCGCTTGAATTCAGCAAAGTCTTCCCTAAATTCTTTCTGCATTTGGGAAGATTAAAAAGTGGACTCAAACGTACCGCCGCGTCTACGTTGGCGGGGCTATCCGGGTTTGGTTCAGCAAGCATGGATATGACCGAAGTAATGATAGTTTCTACGGTGTGCACAGGAAGCCATCGTTCATCTGGTCTTTCGTATCCCCATCGATCCTCACCGGGTTCATGGAGAATTGAAATGCACACGTCACCATTTGGAGCAATATTCGGATGCCAAATCTCGGTTACGAAACGCATTTTAGGGGGGCGATTAGGATAATCAGGAGGGAAATCTAGCTCCGCCCGAAAATAGCCACCCTCACTACACTGAGTTAGTATTTAGTTAATGCTTACTATAGGGTATCTGGAGGGCCCATAATAAGAACTTGCCACTTGAAAATGTTTTCATCATCAACAAGGCCAGCAGAAAAACCTTCAGTAGCACTCTTGCTAAGTTCTACAATTAATTATAAGATCTACAAAGTGAACATAGGTTACAGACCACATAGTTGCTTTTTTAATAGTAAAGTAGAGGCCGTGTTGCACATGTCAACTCAGCATCGGCCACCAAGTCGAGCTTCTACACGTTGCCGTGTTGGTAGTAGTTGACTGCGAATAGTGCAGGGAAATTATGTTCAAGTGGGACGGGAAAAGTGGGAAAAATCCCCGTGAATGCTACTTCCGGGGCGCGTCGTTTACCCAGGATATTATTCGTCCGCGATAAATAGAATCCAAAAAGGCAGTTTAGCGTGCTGTTCCTGTCCCATAAATACTGACCGGTAACAGATTCATTACGGATCTAGCTTTTCATTGGTTCATTGGTTGGTAGAGAGCAGCAGGAAGTTCGTTTGTCAGCTCCGTCACTTCCCGAACGTTGTGCAGTACTGGGATCATTGCGGAACAAGGTTCCGCAGCAGACCGCTATGATTGTATGGTGGGCAGCGGAATCTCTGCGCACCCAGGGAGTGGGACGCCAACAGTCGTTTGAAACTTTCCTCTGTCTCCGCATCGACGACAGCCTCTGGCAAGCTGTTCCAGTCATTCACTACCCGGGTGAATAGGGCCAGAGCGGACCGCACACGGAGTCGCCGCGGTTTGAAATGTTTCCACCGGTGGTCTCGAGTTGCACACTTTGTTTTGAGGCGAATGAACGATTGCAGCGCACTCCCCAGCACACCTCGTAGTTTACGCCAAGTGAATATCATAACTCCGCGGCGACGACGATAATCCAAAGGGAACAGGTTCAACCATTGAAGTCGTACTGGGTAAGACAAGTCCAGCAACTCTGAACCTTTACCATGTCACGTTCGGACTTGGAGAGAGGATACGCAGCAGGCAATCCGTAATCGAGAACTGGGCGCACATGTGAAGCAAACAGTAGTCTGAAGAGTGCTGGAATCAGATGTGAAAAGGCTCTCCGTATGGTGTGAAGGATTCTGTAGGCGGATCCGACCCTCTTCCGAGTGGCCCGATTGATTTGAGACCAGGAGACACAATCACCCCGAGATCTCGCACTTTGTTGACATTTCTGAGCAAGAAACCTCCGCTATGGTTAGCCCCAGAAGGTTCAGAAGCACCTATTGGATGGACAGCGCGTTTGTTACGCTTAATGGGCAACTGCTACTTTAGTGACCAATCGTGGGGCAGATCGAGTGTCGCTTGAAGTCTAGTTGCAAATTCCAGACTGATTACCTCAATCCACAGCTTCAGATCATCCGCGTAGATTAAGCAGTCGGTCTGTAGTTGAGAATGCATATCCTTGCTAAAGATATTGGAGAGTTCGTGGCTGAGTACGGTACCCTAGGACTCCCCACTGGTCACGTGCACTTGATCAGAAGGCGCTGCGTCCACTTAACCTGCATAAAGCGAACTTCCAGGAAAGCGTAGGCCCAGGAACTAAAATTGCCAGTGCACCTATTCCCCGGAGTTTGAAGAAGAGCCGCTCATGTGGGACTTTGTCAAAAGCCTTTCTGGTGTGTTTGTGAAGCTCTTCTCAGCGCTTTTGCGACCCCACCCAGAATATTGCCTCCATGCCTGTCCAGCATGCCTTGACCGGGACACAATGGCACGAGAAGGGCAGCTGCATGTCGGTACTACGTTGGTCAATGGATTACGAGGACAAACGTACCTCGAACGTCTACTTAGTTTGGGGATGCAGTCAAGGCACCATCGAAGGATTAGAGGGGACCTAATCGTAACCTACCGTATTTTGACTGGGAAGGTTGGCCCTGATTTGTCCTGGCTATTTAGTCCCGCTAGATTATATAGTCGATGCGAGCATTGTATGAAGCTGGACAAACCGCCGTCCGCTCGAGTTAGAGCAGAGACAATGTTATTACGTGGAGTCATCGAGCGCTGGAACCTGCTTCCAGAAAATGTTGTCAAGGAATCTACGATTATGGGGTTTGAGCGTCAACTAGACCCTCTTGGGTGGTAACACGAAACGTTTCCTTTTTCCTGACTAATTCCCATCTTCATACTTCGATACTATTTTCTTTACTTTTCCTCGCCATTGGTATTATTCTCATCTTATAACTGATTTCCCCTACTCCCTTACCTTCGCTTTTTCTTCCTCTCATACTTACTTCAAGTTACTGACATACCTGGGACGCTAATGTAAGGAACGTGGGCATTAAATTGGTGGACCAATGTGTTTTTTGGGTGTCTTCCTTTTAGACCCATCAAGAAGTTGGTGCACCCCGTCAACTCCTGGATCGACGACTTGCTCAAGAATGAAAAACACTTATGGGCTTCATCCTATCGTCCCAGTCCCACTTGAACTTGAACTTGAAATCAACAAACACAGCATCCAGAATCATACCGGCATCAAAGGATCATGCCCATATTTCCCTAGCCACCAGCAAATTTGTGGCGCATGGACGCTCTCTTCAGCAAACATGTTGAGCAGGAGAGGAACTCCAGCTCCTAGAGAGGTTGGCGACAGGCCCGTTTCAGAATCTGTTCCATGAATTTGCACCAAATCTAAGTCGGACAGATGGGACGATAGCTGGGCGGATTCTGTCGGTTTCATGTTTATAAATAGGTTTAACGATTCCAACCATCCAAGCAGTTGCAGGCCGCCCGACCTCAGAGGAACGACGGAAGATTTTACTGACAGGAGCGGCACGGTGCCCAGCCACGGTCTTAAAGTACAATGAGTGTAAACCATCAGGACCAGGCGAGGAGTACGGGTCTAGTTCAATAAGTTTCCCTTCAAAATCGATGTTAACATCCCCGTGCTCCAACAGGGAAGGAGGAGCGGGAGCAAAGCCCACTGGGAGTGGCGTTTCGGCCGAGTAGACAGAGGAATATGGCTTGGCCAAAAAGCTATTTTTCTCAACGTCTTCGTTACGCAGGTCGAAATGCTCACAAAGAGGTAAAGCAGGGACACTAATGCCAGTTTTGGTGAGTTGTTTAGGGTATGAGAAAAGCGCCTTGTACTTTGTACTAGAAAGTGCAGCTAATGACAGATCGTATTTTTGGCGTTTCTGGCGTTTTTCATCTTGCAAGCATTCCGTACCGTTTTGTATTATCAGTAGTCAAGCCCAGACCGCGTAATTCTGAAACGATCCCATAGTCTACGCCCTCGTTTCATCATGGATCTTAATCCCTGATCGATATACGTCTGGCTTGTAGAGAATTGGAGGACCTGTTCCATGAGTAACGTCAGCTTGGAGTACAAGTGCTTCCACGCTTCGTCAAACTTGAGGTGTTCAGAGATACGCAAGTCGACGACGCTTGCGGCCGTTTTTATCCGACGTGTACCGGCACGCCAGCAATTCCGACGGTCGCCACGTTAGATTTACACAGCGAAGCGACGTATCCACTGGAATGAGACAGTACAGTGGTCACTGCTGCCAGTGGGTTGTTGAACTGAAAGGTTCGTGATGTCTGATTGTGCTGGGGAGAGCACGAGATCCAGGATATGCGGCATCTGACCTGGAGGAATACGAGTTGGTGTAGTGATATATTGGAGCAAATTACAATGAAGAATCTTCTCGAGTAAGTTTGCCTCAAAGGATTCTGCAGGCCGGTCACGAAGATCAGGTTCCAGTCCATAGAAGGAGCATTGAGATTCCCAACGATAAAGCAATCCTTTCGTGCACCATGCCTCCTGACCGATTCCATCAAGCGGGCTCCGGATCCGGACGTCGCTCTGTAGACGGCACCAGATGTGAGAACTCCGCCCATCAGTAACTCGACACCAGAGGGCATTAAGCTCATCATCGTTGCCACTGTTTGCACCAACTGCGTGTACTATGCTAACAGTCTTTCCATAGACCATTTAGCCACTGCCGGACCTCCCTCCTTGTCGATCGGATCGGGAGAGGTGGTGACCAGGGCTAGACACCTAGGAATCCTTACTGTCTGGGAATAGGCAGGTTTCAGTGAAAGCCATCAGATCTAGACTGGTCTCTAAGGCAACCAACTGAATCTCATCCAATGTATATCTTAGGCTGCGCATATTGGCGGTTAACACGCGTAGTCCATTTGTGTGCTTTATTGTCCCCGGATGAGGAAAATGGGTCCCCAATAGGCTCTCAGGTTCTTCCGAACCACGTTACAATCCACGATATGAAGGTCTGTTTTACCCCTTCCTCGTAGTGTTCTTATCTACGCAAGAGTTTTTATCATTTTTATCCAAATCTCTGGCGAAAAATCAGGTAATACGTAACACGGCTCACCTTTGCGACTGTAGGTGAGTCGCAGAATTTTTCTTCTTCTACCGTTCAGCACACGACTTTCAGTGGCCACTTTGGGTGGATCCTCTTGCTTATTGCCTAGCCGGAATGCAGTGACCATGTTAATTCCCTGTTCGCCTTTACCGAATTACAAAAAGACCAACCGCTCGAGAAGTACCTGGTCATCCAAAATCCTTTCTGCTGGGGTGGTTTTGTTCACTTCGACTACGTTCATAATGATGAGGTAACGGTCCCGAGAAGGTGGAGTGCGCTCAGGGTTTTGCGGTCTGCGAGGGGACGGATTATCGTTGATCACTTTCTCTAGCTTAGAGAGTCTATTAAGGACTAGCTTCGTTTGCAACTGAGATGCTGGGGCTTAGAATTGTGTTTATCCCCTGAGTTGGGATAAAACTTAGCGGCCTTGGTGGCTGGGCTCTGACTGCTTGAGGTGGAAGCACCTTTCCCTTCACTAGGGAAGAGTTATTCCAGGTGTTGGGTTTTGCTTTGAGCATAGAGGCCAGCTTCCGTGGTGGCAGGCTTTCCGTTGGGCCCAGACTTGTTGTTGTTGTTGTTGTTGTTGTTGTTGTTGGAGCCGTACCGCTCGCCATTATAGCATCCGTCTTGGGCTTATTTTCTGTTCTATGCATCATCTTACTGGAAGGTAATGACTCGGCCGACGTAGCGGAGAGGGTGCGGCTTCGGTTTTGTGTGGGTGTAGCATACCCATATGCAGGTAGCGGTATGGTTGATGCTGGCGACTACTCTTCAGCATTGTTCATGTCCAGAACGGCAGGACTGCATATATTGAGAGGAAGCTGGTCAGCCCGATGTCGGTTGTCATTCGCTAATACTGGACATGAGTCACA